CATCAGCCAGACCTAAACTTAGGACAGGATGCTTCCCTGCTAAGCCAGCCCCAGGACCCTAGCATCACTGTGGGGGTGGGGGTGGGGGGCATAAGGGCATATGGCTCAGGGTCTGTGGGACTGAGGGGTAGAGGGATGCTCTTATGAAGCCTAGTTTCCTTTGCTTTCAGCAGGTATACCCTCTGTTTTACAGAAATTCAGCCTCTCTTGACCTAGATCCTTTAGCACATCTCTGACCCAATAGCTTCTGAGCCTCCTTTCTAAAATCTTAGGGAAAACTGGCCTTCCCACTTACCAAAGCAAATCCTCCAACTCTTGATCTCAATTCCACCTCCTCGCAACTCCTAAGGGCTTATCTGACAATTATTTATCTCACTATCTCCATCCTCTTCTATTGTCCATTCCTTTTCTTTCTTTGACTCTTCTGGCTCCTTCTTTCAGCCATCAGATGTGCTCAAGTTCACTAGTTCTTTAAAACAAACACCCCTCACCACCACCAAACATTTTTGAATTCTAACAACAACAGAAAGAACCCTCTTTAAAATGTTTATGTTTTGCTAAATTGCTTTATAGAAATGTCTAAATTCAGAAAGAGTAATGAAAAGAAAGAGAAGTTAAAATAGTTTGCACTGAAGGATCAGATTAAGGATATCCTGAGGAACCAAGAACAGAAGAAAGGATAAAGACAGGGGTCTGAGTATGTGTCCTGAGAATGGCTGGCCTTAATCGTCATCAAATCTTGTCAATTCTACTTCAAAAGTGTATCTATTGAACTCTGAATATTTTTGAATTTTTGAGTATATACTATGGGTAAAGCATTGTACCAGGTGCTATAGGAGATAAAAGGATGAAGTAGACATGGATCCTGCCCTCAATGTATTTACAGTCCAGTTTAGGGGATGCAATATACATATAAATCTGTAACACAGTGTCAGAACTTTTAAGTGCTATTAGAGAAGATCGAATAGAAATGTTATGGGAGTTTTGAGGAAGAAGGGGCCTCTTTGGACTGCGGCCAGTGAGGTTGAGGAAGAGGAAGACCATTTGTGATAATATCATGGACATGATTGCTCTTGAGTTGGGCCTTAAAAGATATGTTGTATCTGGGCAGAAAGATGTAAAATGAAAAGACATTTCACGCAGAGAGAATGATGGAAAACATGACACAGAGGCAGGAAATGAAAAGTTATATTTAAGGAACAATTGAGGGTTAATTATAATGCATAGAGTAGCATTAGAAAGGGAATTGTAAGAGTTAATTTTTGAAAGTCAAGTTAGGTACAAATCATGGCTGGAGAGCAGGAGGAGTGGGGAAGACTTGAATGCCAACCAGTGGGGAATGATAGAGGTTTTTGAACAAGGCAGTTCAGAGTCATGCTTTAGGCAGTTCTGGTAGAATCTATATAAGATAGGTGTGTAGCAAGTGGGAAGGACTGAAACAAGAATCTGTATGGGTGCTATTTGAATAGTTCAGCAGAAATGAAATGAGTTTCAAAATCCAGATTCTACTATAGGTGGTAAAAGAAGGAAAGCAAACCACACACAGAAATACGGAAAGTAAACTAAATGGGGAAAATGTATAGCTTTACTAGGATTCAAAGAAATGCAAGTTATAACTTTAAAGCATGATTTAACATCTATGTAACAAATTTTTCATCTGAGAAAATATAAAGTTGATGAGATTTGAGGGAACTGGACACAATTATACATCAGAGCAGTTTAAGACCCCAACAGCAATCTGACAAAATGTAGGCAGGTCCACAGGCTTCCCTAGTGGTCCAGTGGTTAAGACTCCACCCTTCCACTACAGGGGACCCGGGTTCCATCCCTGGTTGGGGAACTAAGATCTGGCATGCTGTGCAATGCAGCCAGAAAAAAATAACATAGAATAAGAATTCAAGTCCAACATTGTAAATCAACTACACTTCAATTTTTTAAAATGAAATTTTAAAAAAAGTTAAGCCCAGTATTAGAAGAGTCAAGAGCTGATCAACAGCTTCATGGAACCTACTCCCTAACTTGGGCAGGGCACTTTAAGGTGGATCTATACTCTGTCTTTTCTATGCCCAGCACAGTCACTGGGCTAAATATAAACCAATTATCAAACAATCTTCTAAAGGCTCCACAGAAGTTAGAAGGTTTAAGTTTAATAGAGAAAGACACAGCCCTGTGTTTAAATAGGCTTTAATCTATAGGTAGCTTGACCACTGTCTCAACAACCACTGGGCACACTAGGACACATCACTGGAAGCTGAGCCACAGCATGGCAGGTGCAAAGCAGGAGGCCCTGACGCTACCGGAAGAGGCAGAGGCTGACTAATATGCCATAACTATGACACCAAGCTTCTGGTTTTTAACAAGACAGGTCATAAGTCTCAGGACACCTCCTAATCATTTTGCTACATTTTACTGTTACCTAAGCTCTTAAGGTTCTCTCTTCTGTGTGTATGGTAGAAATCTTATGTAATGATATGCCATTGCCCATCTCTTCCCAACTCCTCATTCAATGACATACCATTGGTAGCTTGAAATAAGCCATGTTGAGAGTATTTATACTACAGGCAAATGCTACAAATCAAAGGTTGATTTATTATTTTGTCTAGATCAAGAAGTGGCAAACTATGGTCTGTGGGCCAGTCCATCCTTGTTTTTATAAATAAAGTTTTAAGAACACAGCCATGCCCATTTGTTTAGTATCATCTGTGGCTGCTTTCCCACTAAAATGGTACAGTTGAGTAGCTGTGGCAGAGACCCTATGGCCTGAAAAGCCTAAAATATTTACTATCAGGCCCTTTACAGAAAAAGTTTGCCAACCCAGGGTCTTAATTACTAAGGCGAGCAAAAATATGAACCAATATTCATGGCAAAACTACTCTTGGAGGGCTTCCCTGGTGGCGCAGTGGTTGAGAGTCCACCTGCTGATGCAGGGGACATGGGTTCGTGCCCCGGTCCGGGAAGATCTCACATGCCGCAGAGCGGCTGGGCCCGTGAGCCATGGCCGCTGAGCCTGCGCGTCCGGAGCCTGTGCTCCACAACGGGAGAGGCCACAACAGTGAGAGGCCCGCGTACCGCAAAAAAAACCTACTCTTGGAGAGCCATTTCTTAAACATATACCAGCACATCACTGGGTAGAGTTCATATATAGACCTAAGCAGTCTGATTCTAGAATTCACATTAACCACTATATTGCTAAACAGAGTATGAAATATTATGTAAGCATGAAAATTTATAGAAAGCTTACTGTCAATTCATAGAAATGTGATGTATAAAATAAGTGGAAAAACAAAAATACAAAGTGGTAATGTCCACATTGATATGTATCAATTTGTATCTAGACGTGAACTTCTGGAGAAGAAAATAGAATTTAAAAAGTTAAGCTTCGGCTTCCCTGGTGGCGCAGTTGTTGAGAGTCCGCCTGCCGATGCAGGGGACACGGGTTCGTGCCCCAGTCCGGGAAGATCCCACATGCCGTGGAGCAGCTAGGCCCGTGAGCCATGGCCGCTAAGCCTGCGCACCTGGAGCCTGTGCTCCACAACGGGAGAGGCCACAACAGTAAGAGGCCCACGTACCCCCCCACCAAAAAAAAAAAGTTAAGCTTGTTTTCTCTATGAAGTCACTTAGTTAATTCCTAAAAATAAAGAGAAGAAAAGACATATCCAGGACTTCCCTGGTGGCACAGTGGTTAAGAATCTGCCTACCCATGCAGGGGACACGGGTTCGAGCCCTGGTCCGGGAACATCCCACATGCCACGGAGCAACTAAGCCCGTGTGCCACAACTACTGAAGCCCGCGTGCCACAACCACTGAGGCCCACGCACCTAGAGCCCATGCTCCACAACAAGAGAAGCCACCTCAATGAGAAGCCTGTGCACCACAATGAAGAGTAGCCCCCACTCGCTGCAACTAGAGAAAGCCCACGTGTAGCAATGAAGACACCACACAGCCAAAAAAGAAAAAGAAAAAACACATATCCATATATTCCCTTTAGAAACTATCCAATATCCTCTTCTAAGCTTCTTAACGTATGACTTCCGCACTTTTTTTTTTTTTTTTTTTGCAGTACGCGGGCCCCGCACTGCTGCGGCCTCTCCATTGCGGAGCACAGGCTCCGTACGCACAGGCTCAGCGGCCATGGCTCACGGGCCCAGCAGCTCCGCGGCATGTGGGATCCTGCTGGATCGGGGCACGAACCCGCATCCCCTGCATCGGCAGGCGGACCCTCAACCACTGCGCCACCAGGAAAACCCTGCACTTTTTTATAAATACCCAGACTCTTTTCCACACCGTGGAACACAGCTTCCATCTGACCTATTTTACCCCAACAACTTCTATAGACATTACTTCTGCGATTATGACCATGACCAAATTCAGAGATTTTTCTCCTTCCTTGTCTCCTGACACACAGAACATTGTGGATTCATTGTACCTTCATTCTTGACACTTTCTTCCCTTTTGACTTTCAAGACTGTACTTTTTACCTTTCTCTATTATCTCTTTTGGTGGGTCCTTCTCCATCTTTTTAAAATTTCTGATTTCTCTTTCTCCTCATCCCCAAATCTGAGTATTCCAAAAGAGCTATTTTAAAAAAATTATATGGGTAAGTTGATATCTAAGCCTCAATTTTCTAATTGAAAAAGGGGACTAAAATTAGTACCCACCTGTTGGCATGAAAATTAAATGAATTCGTTTCATAAAGCATTCTGCACAATAGTAAGTACTCAATAAATGTTAGTTGTTGTTATTCTCATTTCTGTTCTTTTTGTTGCCGGTCCAACCAACACTGATATCGCTGAACTCGTTACTTATGGCACAGGTTTATGTAACAATTAATTACATAAAAATGTATATGTGCACTTGGTAACAGCAGGTGGCTGTGAGTCTTATTTCGACAACATAGATCATAAGCTCCTGAGAACAGGGCAAGTTTGACCTCTCCTGAGTCCACCAACCATACTAGCCAACCCTAGGCCTTAACTGAATCAATGCCAGAACACCTGTACCTCTGTTGAGTTAGGGGTTCCAATCCATCCCCAAGGCTGTGTCCTCGCTCTTCAGTCTTCCTGGTTCCCTCAGGATTTATTCCTTCTTCCTGTAAGCACAGGTAGAGTTGAGGTCAGTCATAAGGCCCTTCCAGGGGTGATAGGGATTGCGAGCAATCAAAGACCGTACATGAGGCCATGCATCAGCCCACAGAGATGTGCAGAAACTAAACTGGTGAGTTACCGTGAGCTGCAGCCCTGGGTTCTCTATGCCAATCTCCACTGTGGACAGAGCAATGCCCTCTCTTCCATTTGTTTTCTCCATCTCCTGCTCTCCTGAAAATCAAATTCAGAGCCAAGGCTGAAAGATTAGTTGTTCTATAATATGGGGCCAGATAGAACTTTTAGGGCCAGTTACCCACAGGAAAACAAAACTAAAAATATTTAGAGATTTAGTTGATTTCTTTAAGAATTGAGAAAATTGGAAACATAATTCTAAAATAATAAACAATGAAATATAGACTTCTACTTCCTATTGTGAATAGCAAAGGAAGGGGAAATAAGATAGGAAAAGAGAAATGAAGGGCAAGGGAACTGAAATGAATCAGTGGCTCACCCAGGGCTCCAGGACCTGAACTAGAAAGGACTCTCTTCAGTCCCCTTAAGGAAGGGTTAGAGGGCAACTACTCCTGTTAGCCTCCAGGTGGCCCCACTGAGCTGTGCTGAGTAAGAAGAAAACAAGGAGGCAGAGGGCTGGGAAGACCACAGCCCCCAACACATTACTGAGAAACCAAGATTAACAGACTTTCCAGTTCCTGACTATAATGTAGCATGAGAATTGTTTTTGGAGCATCTAAGAGAGTACCTAATGAGATAAATAAAAGAAATCTACATGTAGAATAATCAGTATGAATGTTAATTATCCCCAGTAAAGAAAGTTTTAAAACAAAATGAGAGAATAAAGAAACAAACACTTGAGCCTCACTATAAACAACCTTAATAGATAAACATTCAAAGTTATAATATAGGTTCATCTGAGATTTTTTTACTTTGTAGAAATTTTCCTTCAATTTTATGGAATTGTTTTTTGTTTTTTACTGTGATCTCTTCAACCATTTAAATATAATTTTATTCAACATACATAAACAACTTTTGTTTTTTAAATCAGGGCTTTCCTGTATAGGCACAGAACTACTTGAATTTGGTCTAAATATGATCAATTAAGAAATCTGGCAAATCAGGTTCCTGCCCTCCTCCAAGACCATTACTTACTCCAGTTTGCAGGATTCCTTCTGGTGCCTCAGTGAAGGACAGAAAGAAAAACTCAGCTCCACGAGACCTTGACTCTGAAGGGATGGGCTGGAGATGAGAGAGAAGGATTTCCTGATTGGCCCATTTTGCCCTGGGCCCTCCTTTGCTGTTCCTGCCCTTCTCTGTAGAGGAGGAGTGCAACTCTCAAGTTAAATATTTATATGTTCTAAAGACTATTTTGCAGGGTCAGGTCTAAGAATTCTGCAGGAATTCCTAACAGGCACATCAGCAGGAGCGCTGCCCAGCACAGAACTAGGCACGGGGTAGTATGGAGAAGAAAAATAAGAGAAGGATCTCTGCACTCAGAAAACTTAGCATCATTTTGTACAGGAAAGACACTTGCTAGAAAACAACAGAATGAAGGACTGTACATGATTCAATTCTAAATGACTGCTAGGAAGTCTTTTACTAATCCATTTAATAAATATTTGTTAAATATTCACCATCACCCAGGCACAGTTCTGGGTGCTGAGGACACAAAGATGAATGGGATATTGCCTCTGCCATGAAAGAATTACAAATCAGTGAGGAAAGACATGTGTCAAGAAAGGCTTTACAGAATTGGTAACATTGGCCCTGAGTCTGGAAAGTTTTGAAAGGTAAGTAGGGAACCACTGATGGAGAAGGGGAAAGATATACCACCAGAGGGAGAAACTGAAACAAAGGCACAGAGGTGAAGACTTCCCTGACACACTAAGGAGGCTGTAAAAAATAGCTGAAGATGCAGACCTACTAGAGAATGGACTTGAGGACACGGGGAGGGGGAAGGGTAAGCTGGGACAAAGTGAGAGAGTGGCATGGACATATATACACTACCAAATGTAAAACCGATAGCTAGTGGGAAGCAGCCGCATAGAACAGGGAGATCAGCTCCGTGCTTTGTGACCACCTAGAGGGGTGGGATAGGGAGGGTGGGAGGGAGGGAGATGCAAGAGGGAGGAGATATGGGAACATATGTATATGTATAACTGATTCACTTTGTTATAAGGCAGAAACTAACACACCATTGTAAAGCAATTATACTCCAATAAAGATGTTAAAGAAAATAGCTAAACAACAAAGGCAGATCTTTGAGAAACTAATGAAGGAGGGACAAAATAAATTAAGAAATTAGTTAAGTAATGGAGGGGGAAAATGTGAATGAGACGGTGGTAGTTTATCAAGAAATAAGTCTGGAGATGCAGTCAAGTGCCAGATGGAGATGGGCTCTGTAAGCCAGGCTAAAAGTTTGGGCTTATTTGGAACCAGCTGCGGAGGCAAGAGGAGAATGGATTGGAAGGATGCACACTGGGGACAGGGAGACCAGTCAGGAGACAAAAGCAAGAGTCCAGGTCAGACATGGTGAAGCTCTAACCAAAGCAGTAGATGGAAAGAAGGAAACAAATCTACAGGATGTGGTGACTAATTGGGCATAAGGGAGTAAATGAAAGGGGGAAGTTAATTCTTCAAAATTGTTCAAAATGAACTATTTTCTTCCTGCTCCTACCTGCCAGTAATACTGAGCTGTATGTTGTTCCCTAAACACTTGATGTTCCCTTGTGCCTGTTTGTGGATGCTGTTCCTTCTGCCTCCAACACCCTGCTCCTATTTACTTACCTGGAAAATTCCCACACCACCTTCAAGTCTCTGTTGCAAGGCTACTCTCTTCAATGAAGCTTTCCATGATTCCCTCCAGATGAGACTTAAGACCCTTTTCCCCACACCCCTACTGCAACATGCTTCTGCAGAAGACTACAGAGCATTTAGTGCTCTAAATGTTTACTTGTCTCCCAGTAGACCATGATCTCATCAAGCACAGGCTCTTTATCTTGTTCACCACTGTATCCCCAGGCTCAAGGCCTGCCACAATATTAGGCAATCAATAAAGATCTGTAAAATAAGTGAAACAAACAAACACAGATTTCTGGCTTAGATTATTGGGTATGTAGATGATGATAACAATCACCAAAATAGGAAAACATATCTCTATTTCCCTAGCTCCATGCACACACACACACACACAAACATAAAAGCCCTACCAGAGTAAATGTGTGTTATATTCTGCAACCTAGAGTAACTCATTTTGCCTCTCTGGGCCCCTTCTGTTATTCCTGCCCCGCCTAATTGCCCAATGCCATTTGACAAGATGATTAGGAAAATTAAGTAATTTAATACAGAAAAAGAATTTGAAAAACAGTAGGTAAACTTGCAGTTGTAGTCTACTATTGTACATTCTTATAGAAACTCAGGAAAATTAAAGATATTTTCAAGCTGACATCTGATTACAATCTCAGTATGACTGTGAAGTCTCTCTGACTCATCCTAGTACACACTTTATCTCTGTTTTCATTTTTACCTTAGAAAATTGCCAGTTCTGGGGTCAAGCCCAGGTATAGTTATAGGCACAGAGCCTAGCGTTCAGTCCAGGTGAAATGATGCCAGTGATCACATCTGTCTTCTCTTGCCCTTCCTCTTCCCTCTTTCTTTTTCCTCTAGAAGGCGTGAAAAATCCATGTTCATCTTCTAAATGCAGGCTACAGCACTCATCTCACTTGTCCAGCAGATCCAAGTTTCCTTTAAATGCAGGTACAATTGATAACACCCAACTGTGGAGAGGAAGAGAATTAATCTGGCTGATACCTCCCCTTGAGTAACTGCTGGCTCACAGGCTTGGGCTTCATTGTTTAAAAGTTTTCTTTTTCTCTTATCATTTACAGTTTGATAAACTCTCAAAGTACAGATCAGGAAGAATGAAATGATTTACCTAGAGTCAACAGCTAGTTAGTGGCTAAGCCAAACCAATATCCTGGGATCCTCACTCCTGGTTCTGTGCTATTTCTGGGCTGTAGGGTGAAACATAAGAGATGCTCTGTCTCTGCAGACTTTTACAGTTTTTCAAAAGATTTTCCTGTACTTTTACTGCTCATCCTCATAATATTCCTGTAAGCAAGTCAACTACTAATCCTATTTTAGGTACAGAGAAAATTATATTCAAAGAAAACGAGCAATTTGTCTAAAGTCATACAGCTGGTTAGGGCAGAGTCAGGATTGGAGGCTAGCTATGGTCATTTCCATGGAAGCTTGGCCTCAGAGCTCTCCTAAAGTCTAGGGGTTGCTCCTGGAAACCAGGTGGCCTGCCACAAACCCATCTGGGAAATAAGTAGGGTATAAATAATAAATGATTTTATCCTTCCTGCTTTGACCTCTCCTAGATTACTAGTACAAGCAAGGGGAACTAGAGAGCATATAGAAACTTCCAGTTTTGGTCTTACTGAAGTAACTTACACTTAACTAACTCTCCTGCTGAGAACAACTAAAAAGGCTAGACAAATATATAAATCAACAGGTGAAAGCACTGCAGAGCAATCAATGGAAGCAGGACTTGGAGGTTTTTGATTCTTGAGAGAAGGGAAGCATACCAGTTGAGTTCCACATTCATCCTAGCTCTTTTCCTGAAAGCATTTTAGTTTTCAAAATCACAATGCAGAGAAATAATGCTCAAGCAGTCTTTTTGAAGGAAAAAAGAAAAGAATAATGAAGAAAGAGCCTAAAAACCTGCAACCAAATTTCAAAGTCATTGGCCAACTCAAAAATTTTAGATGCTCAAAACAAGATACCAAGAAACTCAGTGAAAAACAGTATTTGGAGTGCTTAAAGACCTGAGCAGACGGACTTCCCTGGTGGCACAGTGGTTAAGAATCCGCCTGCCAATGCAGGGGACACGGGTTTGAGCCCTGGTCAGGAAAGATCCCATATGCCATGGAGCAACTAAGCCCATGTGCCACCACTACTGAGCCTGTGCTCTAGAGCCCACAAGCCACAACTACTGAGCCCACGTGCCACAACTACTGAAGCCCATGAGCTTAGAGCCCATGCTCCCCAACAAAGAGAAGCCACTGCAATGAGAAGCCCGGGCACCGCAACGAAGAGTAGCCCCCGCTCGTTGCAACTAGAGAAAGCCCACACGCAGCAACGAAGACCAAACACAGCCAAAAATAAAAAATAAAATAAAATAGAAAGAACTAACTAAAATGGTTTAACGAACTGGATAAAACAGAAGACAAGGTGAGTGAACTCAAGGAGTGGTCAACAGAAAATATCTGAACAGCACAGAGAGAAAAATTTAGGGGAAAAAAGCAGAATAAAACTTCTATGTTCCATTTAGGATGTAGAAAGCTGGAAAAGTCTTGCTCTCATCTTCATAACAATTTTAAAAATTCAGATAATCTGAAAATTTACAATTTTCTTTAACCCATCAGTGACCTGAGGTTGCAGGGCAACCAATTATCCCCAAATCTAAGGAAAGACAAGTTGACTGAAAAAAAAATACACAACCTAAAAGTTGAAAATTATGTTTTATTTGGTGGGCCTACTGAGGACTTAAGTCCAGGATACAGCCTCTCAGATAACTCTGAGGGACTGTTGCAAAGAGGTAAGGGAGGTGCCAGGATATAGAGGAGTTTTTGCAAAAAAACAAACATAAAGAAAGAGGTAGTCAGAACATCAAAAGATTACTGCAAATTAAAGAAAACCAGGCATTGCAAGTTAATGAATTTAGCCTTTTTCTGTGATTAGGAAGAGGCAAGAGTCTGGGTTTATTGAAATTATTCCTTTGATATGAACCTTAACAATCTAGGGTCAGTAACCTGTTTTTTTCTACATCCTGAATTCCCTCCAGGTGCGCCATGAGGAGCAGCTGCAGTGGCTGATGGCTTGACGGCCTCAACATCCTTTATTTACTATAATAAAATGGCTGGTGACATTCTTTGTCCACAGCACCCTCTCTTGGACATAAATCTGACCAACATTTGGTAGGCATTTCATGACCAATTTTGCCCCACTACCCTAGGAAGGATTCTGTTGATAGGCCACTCAATGTGCTGGGGTATTTTTTGGATTAGGCCCTGTGGATAATCTGAAATTCTCTGGCTCTCTTTTCTTACTAGCCTCTTATAATCCAGGAAGTATTTTCCCTTGTTGCTTCTTCCCATATCTAGAGTTGCTCTATTATAATTATTCTATGTAGAGATAAATATACGATCAACTGCCTCAAGATGTTTAGCCAGTATATTTCAGAAAAAAGTCATAACATTATAAACCATATTTATCAGTTCATTCAGCCCCAGGTAATTAATTCCTATTGATCTGGATGAAGTCATCGTGTTTTTCATTAGAGTTTTGTAATTTCTTACCTAGTTCAGTGGTATTGTAAGCAGATAGGGGAGGGGGTCCCCGGAGAAAGAGAACCAGGTATGGCTTTCCTAACATAAGAGAAGCCATTGTGGGCCTAAGTCAATTTGTGGTCTAAGCCTGGCCACAGTGCTTGCCCTTAAACATGTCTCAGTAATTAATGATCTTAAGGGAAGTGAGAGAATACAGGAACAAAGGAAAAACAGTCAAGAAACAATAGTTCAGAGATAAAATAGATCCTAGTTCCTTCTCAAGGGATGTACATAACAATCTGATACATATCTTTGACTTCTGCAGGAACTAAGGACCCCACCCAGATAGAGGATGGAATGATGATGTTGACCTTTTCTGATTTCAATCAACTGAAGCTTGGACTCTGCTGAACTTTGCCCCAATTCTATGCTGAATTCTCCTCTGCTCAAGCCCCTTCATGAATACGCATACAACACCCAAGCCCCTTCGTGAATATGCATGTACCCTTAGCTTAAAACTTCCCCAATTTTGCTGTTTGGGGAGACAGTGCTTTGGAAAAGATCCCTGATGTTCTCTCTACTTGCTGCAAGTAATAAATCCTTCCTTCTCCCAGTCTTTGGCTTGGTTGTATCTTTTGGCTCAAGAGGCAAACACAGTTTTTTGAGTAACAGTATGATCTAAAAGTTATCAGAGGGACTTCCCTGGTGGCGCAGTGGTTAAGAATCCACCTGCCAATGCAGGGAACACAGGTTCGAAGATCTCACATGCCATGGAGCAACTAAGCTGGTGCGCCACAACTACTGAGCCTGCGTGCCGCAACTACTGAGCCCACGTGCTGCAATAACTGAAGCCCACGCGTCTAGAGCCCCATGCTCCGCAACAAGCACCATGAGAAGCCTGCTCACTGCAATGAAGAGTAGCCCCCACTCACTGCAACTAGAGAAAGCCCGCGTGCAGCAATGAAGACCCAACACAGCCAAAAAAAAAAAAAAAAACTGCAGAAACTATTTTAGGTGGACACACCCAAAACATAATTATTCCTAGAGTGCACACTGAAAATTCTTACCTCATTTATCTTTATTTTATAACTTATGAAAATATCATCATACCAAAGTTAATTTTTTTTTCTTTTTTTTTTTGCTGATAAACTCTGCAATAGAAATAACATGAACTTACTGACCTTCAGTATACCTAGGTACAATAAAAGTAAGACATGTCTATATTGATTAAATCAACAAGCTTAAGCTAGCTTTAATACCAGATATTAATTTAATATTAATATTTCCTAGATTATGTGAACCTGAAAGTCATTCTGGCCTGCTTCCTTTATATTTAGAAACATTTAATTTGTAAGCACTTACTTTTAAGTCAGTTAGGTAGAACTCTTTTATTAATTCAGTTTTGATAATATTTTCTGGAGGTAGAGACATCTCATATGTATAATGCACATACAGACATATAAACAGACAAAACTAGAGATCTCATAGCTTCACTTTAACACTTAGTTATGAATCAGGTATTACAATATAAACTTACCAGTTTGTAAATAACAGTTGGAATAAGTTAAATTTGTTTACTCAGATGACTAAGGCTTTTACTATTCGTGGAAAAGACTTTTAAGATTTGTATTTGTCCTTGATAAACCATTAAGGAGGCTATGAATCAGATTTGGGCTGAGGGAGCCTTTCCAGTGGTTTGAGTTTAAAAAGGCCTTATTTCCCTTTTTTGTTCTCCCTTGGTTTCAGGTTCTATCTGATTGAGTGAATTAGGCTCAGTCTCAGGTCACTGTGGACTGTATTTACATTTCTGATTTGTAAAGATTTGTAAGACAAAAACAGTTACTTTTCATTCTCCAAAAAACTGGTCTGCCACCTAAATGATATTAAAAGATTGACTTGCCCAGCTATATTTTCTTTAATTTGTATCAGTGAGATGATCTCCAACTAAACTGAAAATTAAGAGTTCTGGGAATTCCCTGTTTAGAATCCCAGTCTATTCAACTGACTGCCAAATGTTTCTGAAGAGTTGTTTTATCAAGCCGGCTTTCTCTAACTTAACTGCAAACACAATAAAGAGCTCCATCTTAGTCATTTTCAGGGTGAGATTTCCTTTAATTCCCAATTAAGTAACTACTTGTAAGTATAAGTTTTGTACGTACATAAACCTGTTTGGGATGTTAGTTGGAGGCTGACAATCTGTCGCTCCTTTTTCTTTTAGTTTGAAAGCTTTGTTCCCCATTCCAAAGTTGGTCTGTTGAGAAAAAATCACTAGTGAAGATCCTGCGGTGGGCCAACGTACTGTTTGTGAGCTTAACTCCTCTAGGTTTCACTCTAGAGTCCTTTCAGCCTGCCATTTCAGTAAACAAAGGATGTTGAGGCCATCAAGACATCAGCCTCTGCAGCCACCCCAGCGGTGCACCCTGAGGGGATTCAGGATGGGAAAGAACAGGATACTGGCTCTAGATAGTTGACGTGCATATCAAAGGAATAATTTCAGTAAGCCCAGACTCTTGCATCTTCCCATACATAGAAAAGCGCTAAATTCAAAGTCTGGCTTTTTTTAATTAGCAGTAATCTTTTGATGTTCTGACTACCTGTTTTTTCTTTTTTTTTCTTTTTCAAAAACTCCTATACATCCTGGCTCTTCCCTTACCTCTTCAGAACAATCCCTCAAAGCTATCTGAGAAGCTGTATTATCCTGGGATTATATCCTCAGTAAGTCTACCGAATAAAACATAATTTTCAACTTTTGGGTTGTGCTTTTTTTTTTTTCAGTCAACACATGTCAATAGTTATATAAATAGTTTAAACTCTGCAATAAACCAAAAAATACAGATTGTCAGATTGGATTAAAAAAAAAAAAGCAAGACCCAACTATATGCTGTCTATAGGAACCCATTTTAAATATAAAAACACAGAATAAAAGTAAAAAGATGGGAAAAGACATATCATGTTAACACCGAAAAAAAAGGCTGGAGTGTCTATATTAATATTAGAAAGGTAGACTTCAGAACAAAGAATATTGCCAGAGATAAAGAGGAACATTACATTAATGGAAAGGAGTCAGTTCACCAAGACTATATCACAATCCTAAATATGTATGTGAAACCACACAACTCAGATTGGGACTTGAACACATTGTCTTTTAATTGAGGTCACACAACTGGCCTCAGGACTTAACAAAGCTCAGGTTCTTTATATCTCATCACAGAAAGAATTCAGTGAAAGACTAAGTGGTAGGTAAGAAGTGGATTTATTTAGAGAGATACACATTCCATAGACAGAATACAGTCCCTCTAAAAAGGCAAGAATGGCTTTGGGAGAAACACACTCCAAAGACAGAGTGTGGGTCATCTCAGAAGGCAAGAGGCCCCAGAATATGGGGTGGTTAGTTTTTATGGGCTGGGTAATTTCATAGGCTAATGAGTGGGAGGATTATTTCAACTATTTTGGGGAAGGAGCGGATATTTCCAGGAATTGAGCCACCACCCAATTTTCAGCCTTTTATGGTCAGCCTTGGAACTGTCATGGTGCTGGTGGGTGTGTCATTTAGCATGTTAATATATTACAATGAGTGTATAATGAGGCTCAAGGTCCACTGGAAGTTGAATCTTCCACCATCTTGGACCTAGTTGGTTCTAACCAGTTTATGTCACATCTTCAACAGCTATGTCATTCTTTTAAAGGTTGTGCCCTGCCCCCTTCCCTACTGTTTCATATGGACTAAATAATGTAGCTTCAAAGGATACAAGGCAAAAATGGATAAAGCTGAAAGGAGAAATAGACAAGTACAAAACTATGGGTGGAGAGTTTAATACTCTTCTCTAAATAATTGATAGTATAAATAGAAAAAAATATGAGAAAACAGAAGATCTAAACAACATCATCAATTTACTTGACCTGACATATTTAAACATTTCACCTGACAAGTGCAGAATATACATTGACTTTAGGAGTATACAGAATATTCACCAAGGCAGACCATATTCTAGGGGAAAAAAAAAACTTGGAATATTTAAAATAATTGAAATCATACAAAATATATTCTAAGGCAATTAAGGAGGTAAACTAGGAATGTTTAACAAAAAAATACCTTGAAAGTCCCCAAATACTTGGAAATTAGACAAGATAGTTGTAAATAACCCATGACTCAAAGAAGAAGTCACAAGGGAAATTAGAAACATTTTAATTGATCAAAATTTTAAAATATTAAAATCCAGGACTTCCCTGGGGCAGTGATTAAGACTCCATGCTCCTGATGCAGGGGGCCTTGCTTCGATCCCTAGTCAGGGAACGAGATCCCACATGCATGCCACAACTAAGAGTTCACATGACGAAACTAAGGAACCCTCATGCCACAACTAAGGAGCCCACTTGCCGCAACTAAGACCCAGCACAACCAAATAAATAAATTTTAAAATAAATAAATAAATAAAATTAAAATCTATGGGGGGGGACTTCCCTGGCAGTCCAGTGATTAAGACTTCGCCTTCCAATGCAGGGGGTACAGGTTTGATCCCTTGTCAGGGAGCTAGGATCCCACATGCCTCACAGCCAAAAAACCAAAACATAAAACAGAAGCAATATTGTAACAAATTCAATAAACACTTTAAAAATAGTCCACATCAAAAAAAAATCTTAAATCAAAATCTATGGGATGCAACTGAAGCAGTACTTATATTAGAAAACAAACCCACAGCAAGGTCTAAAATCAATTATCTAAAACGTCACCTTAAGAAACTGGAAATAGAAGAGTAAATCAAACCCGACACAGACTGAAGGAAATAATTAAGAGCAGAAAACAAGGAAAGTGAGACCAGGAGAAAAAAAATATAAAGAAGATCAATGAAATGAAAAGCTTGATTCTTTGAAAAGATCAATTAAATTGATAAGCATCTAGCTAGAATGGTGAAGGAAAAAAAGAGAAGAAACAAGTTACAAATATCAGGAGTAAGAGGGGACACCACTATAGTTCCTACATACATTAAAAAGATAAGGGAATAATAAAAACGAGTCTATGCTCACAAATTCAAAAATTTAAATGAAACAAATTCCATGAGACTCAAAACTGCCAAAGCTCACTTCAGAAGAAATAGATTATTAGCATAGTCTTATATCTATTAAAGAATGTACACTTAAAAACTTTCCAACACAGAAAACTTAGGCCCAGATGTCTTCAAATATTAAAATTCTACCAAATATCTAAGTGAGAAATAAAATATTGCCTGCCATATCTGTAAACAAAGGAATGCACAGTCATCAGCGATTGCAGCCACCTCCAATGATGAGCTGATAAGCCCTGAGGGAACTCAGGATGAGAACATACAGGATACTGGCCCCAGATAGCTGAGGTGCATATCAAAGGAATGATTTCAGAGAGCCAGGACTCTTGCATATTCCCATAGAAAAGCGCTAAATTCCTTAACTTGAGATATCTGGTTTTCTTTAATTAACAATAATCTATTGACTTCCCACTACCTGCCCTTTGCTGCAAAACTCCTACATATCCTAGCTTCCCCCTCGCCCTCTCGGAGTTTCTCAGGGTTAATTGAGATCCTGCCTCCTGGGCTTGAAGTCCTGAGAATGTCCGCCAAATAAAACATAACTCTCAACTTTTAGGTTGTGCATTTTTTTTCAGAGGACATAAGGAAGAAATAATACCAGTTTTCATAACTCTTCCAGACTGTAAAAGAGGAAGGAACACTGATGACTCATTTAGGAGGCCAGCAATACCCTGATACAAAAACCAGATGGTAACATAAAAAAAAAACTACAGATCAACATTCCACATGAACATAACATGAAGAAAATCCTCAACAAAACACTAGTAAATCAAATCTAGCAACACATAAAAAGAATAATGTATAATAACAAAGTGGAATTTATCCCAGGAATGAAAGGCTATTCAACATTTGAAAATCAATCTAATTTACCACATCAACGGACTAAAGATGAAAAGCCACATTATTACCCCCATAGATGCAGAAAAAGGATTTAACAAAGTTCTATATTTGTTTATGATAAAAACTTATAGCAAACTAGGAATAGAGGCAACTTTTTCAATCTGATAAAGAAGGTAAACAAAAAACCCTACAACTAGCATCATTTTTGATCATGAAAAACTAAATAAACGTTTTCTCCCTAAGATCAGGAACAAGAATGCTCTCACCACTCCCATTTAACAATATACTGGAGGTCTAGAGAGTACAATAAGACAAGAAAAGACCTAAAAGACATATGGATTGGAAAGAAGAAAGAAAATTATCTCTATTCACAGACAATATGCTTTTCTACATAGAAAATCTCAAAATATCTACAAACAAAACAAAAACAACCAGAACTTATAAGCGAGTTTAATTAGGCTACAGGATACAAGATCAATAAATAAAATCTACTGTATTTCTACATTCCAGCAATGAACAATTGGAAACTGAATATTAAAAAGAGTACCATTTATAAGAGCACCAAAAAACATGAAATACTTAGGTTTATTTTATTTTATTTATTTTTATTTATATTTTTATTGGAGTAAAATTGCTTTACAATGTTGTGTTAGTTTCTGCTGTACAATGAAGTGAATCAGCTATATGTATACCTATATCCCCTCCCTCTTGGACCTCCCTCCCACACCCATCCCCATCCTGTATGCTGAAAACTATAAAACCCTGGTGAACGAAATCAAAGAAAACAAATAATTGGAGACATATTCTATGTTCATGAATTAAAAGACTCAATACTGTTAAAATGTCAATTCTTCCCAAAGATTTTAAATAAAAATTGACAAACTGATTTTAAAAGTTATATGGAGAGTCAAAGGAACTAGCATAGTCAAAACAATTTTGAAAAAGAACAACAAGATGGGAAGATTCATAGTACTTGTTTTCAAGGTTGTTATGGACTGACTGTGTCCCTCCAAAATTCATATGTTGAAATCATAAGCTCCAATATGATGGTATTTGGAAATGGGGCCTTGGTGAAGTAGTTAGGGTTAGATTAGGTCATGAGAGTGCTGTCTTCATGATGGGATTAGTGGTCTTATAAAACGAGGAAAAAAGAGAAGTATCTCTTTCTGTGTAAGCACAAAGGTCATGTGAGGATGCAGTAAGAACATGGCTCATTGCACACCAGGTAGAAAACTCTCACCAGAACCTGATCATGCTAGCATCCTGATCTCAAACTTCTAGCCTCCAGAACTATGAGAATATAAATTTCTTGTTTAAGCCACCCAGTCTATGGCATTTTGTTATGGCA